CAGCATGGTCAGGCCCCAGCAATGGAGGCCATCCTAACACCCAGTTGGAGCACCCTGAGGGTGTGAGAATGTGTGGAATATCGGTGAGTAGACATCTGGCATCTCTCAGTCTCTCGCTCTCTCTCTCTCTCTCTCTCTCTCTGTATTGTTCTAAGAGAGAAATAGTACTTGCAAAGTCAGGCTTGGCCATGTCAATAGCGCACGCCCGCAGATGGGCTCCAGACTGCATGTCTAAAAGCATTTCCGGGACTATAGCCAGTCTGGAAAGAGCTTGGTGACCTCCCATGCTCTCCTTCAAGATTCTTTAGCGGCGTTGCTTCTTGGGGAGTGGGGAGTCGTACCTGCAAGTTTCTCGGTGTCTTTCCAGGCGGCTATCTGATGTGCGGGCACTCTTGTGCGATGGGGACACCTTCAGAGACGGCTCAGATCTTGACTCTACGGCTGCTCTTTTGGCCGCCAAACCAGGAAGCTTCCAAAACAGCTGGCCTCTAAACAGACATGCTACTACTAGGAGCGACTAAAGGGCGCTTCAGGGCTCAGCTGGTAGAATGCCTTTGCGGAGGAGACCCTCGCTTTTTTTGGAAGCTGCCCATGTCCTGTTGCCATGGTAGCACTGCACTGTGAGGAGGCGCGAACAGCATCGCAAGTAGGCTCGCTCTAAAATCTCTTAATTGCAACGTCTGGCCATCTTTTGACTAAACACAGATGTACACTGGCACTTTCAGCGGAACCAGCTTGGCCATTGATCAAATCTTTTCGTACCTCCACGAAAACAACATGGTTACCATCGCTGGATACCAGATACCGCCCCAAAGGATTCATGATGGCGATGCTCCAGCGAAGCCCACTAAGTCACTGCTGCACGTTGCATCTAGAACACTGCACAGCTACATGAACTTTATCGCTGTCCTGCCTCGCAACGTCTGTGTCTGACATGCTACTCTGTGGGATCGAGACATCGAGACAAGAGGGCATCCAACACACCCAAACTCAACAGCAGCCCATGTTGCTGGACTGTCTGCTGGACGCCTGCTGGAAGCCTTCTGTTTGGGTGCTTTTGGAGGCTCTTGGGGAATCTGTCTGGGGAGTATTTGCTCCCCGAGCAGCCCACGTGTCTCTCGCAGCTGGGGTAGCTACCGCCGATGCACCATGTTTGACATAGGCCAGTCTTAGGGAAAAGGACCGCGATCGCAAGCGACAATATTCCACCATAAGACACGCAACAATACAAGATTCTACGGCCTTGGGATGAAGGCATCCCGAAGCTGGGATCTGTAGAACCCCAACTGCGCCCACTGGCTACCAAGAGATGCTTCGGTGGACACCCTACAGAGGAAAGGCTGGGGTAAACTCCCATGCTTCTTCTACAGCACCAGCTCCAGTTGTTACCAATCATATGTAATAATAACTTCCATTTTCTGCTCCATTATCTCTATATAGCCCCTATATTACTTCTAGTAGTACAATGTATTGTAGTGTATTGCAATATGTCATAGTATATTACAATATATATTAGAGTATAGTGGTATGTTATAATATATTTGTATGGGCGGCATTGCTCTGCTGCCGGTCTTTCTGCGGATAAAGACCTGCCTACCGCTAGTTTCATGTTCGCTGCTTAGCATCATGACTGTCGCTGCAGTGAGGACTACTACTGGTGGCTTCCCTTTGGCCCGAATAATAAGGGCCATAGTATTTGGGGTCTATACGGGGGTCCCTCTATTTCGGCAAACTACGTACTCAGTGAAACGGAAGCATGTTATGTTCTACATCTACACTCCTACCCAGTCGCAGTTGTGGTTCGCGCTACTTTGATGATGATTACATACCGCGACTAGTTCTTCTGCTACTTCTATTTTGTTGCAGTGGCTGCTGCGGTGCTTACCACTGTTGTAGAGCTCGCTAGTCCTTCTGTCTTTCCCACTGCCACTGTTCTCATTTCGAGGTTTGCTGCCATGACTGCCATTATTCAACTTTGAATTGGAACCCCTGTTGAAACCACCCTTGTAGCTGCATCCTTTCTTGCTACCGCTTCTGCTGCTGGCGGCTATAGCTTGTACTCTTACTATAGTACTCCGCCACATAATGACCATCACTACTTTCAGAGTCAGTAAGATAGTACAGGTAGGTAGCTCTAGGCCCCAGGCACTGAGCCTAAGCCTCCTCTGCGGCCTCCTTAGAGTCGCCCTTGTCAGCCTTCTTCTTCTTGGCCTTCTTGGGGTTGGCCTTTCGCAAAGAATGGAGGCACAAGGAAGCAAAAAACAAAGTACTAGTAACAATACATAATTTGATGATGGCAGCGTGGTTGTGGCAACTGCAGTAGCAGATCTGGAGGCGTTCGAGCCCGAGGAACAGTGGTACAGGTAGCAGAGGCGCAACCTTGCCAGCAAGTAGCAGTAGCAGCACGATGAGAGAAGCATTTGCCGTATTGGTACTCGTGCAGTACTAGTACTAGTAGACATGGCATAAGAAGAACTAATAAGAGACAAGCAGGAATGGTAGTAGCAGTGGTAATAATCTGCGTCGTAGTCGTAGCAGCAGTAGTTGTAGTGCTGCTGCTGCCGCCACTGCTACTGCTACTACTGCTACTGCTGCTGCTGCTGCTGCTGCTGCTGGTGATACTAGAGGTATTGGTAAGGCTGATGCTGAAGAACGTTTCTGAAGTGATGGCGACAATAACAAGGTCCGGCAGTCGTTGCAGGGATGTAGGGCTGCAATGATGCATGACGGGGGGTTTGACGAGGATTTGAGAGGTCTTTGTTGTGACATGGGGATGTTGGAGTTGGAGGTTATTTTGCAATGCAGATTCGGTCAGGCCACAAGCGAGTCATGTTTGATTCTGCTGCAAAGGCGTTTCCAGTAGCTAGGTCGCGCGCGGAAGTTGCCAGCAGTTTCTTGATGTCCTGCACGTCAAGGCGTTGTGTCCATCGGCCCGTGTTATGTGAAACACATGCGCTCCCTATGTCAAAGGGCACCCTACGAGGGCAACATGATTATGCCGAACATGCGAGCTTGCGATTCCTGGTCAAATTTCAGCAATCAATTCTGTCTGGGCCTGTGCTGAGAAGGGAATCAAAGATCCCTTGTCCACAATAGACTGTTTCTCAAAATTTGTAGGAATAACCCCCACATATCCTCCTATATAGACCCCTTTGAAAGGTACCCAAATTGGAAGCCATGATCTGCAGATTCCCCCCCTCCCCCACACCCCAATGAGTCCTCGTCCACAACGGTCAGCTCGGATGCCGCCTCTTGGATGTAACTGTCTCTTTTGCCACGGTCATTGCTGCCATTTACGAATAAACCATGCGGGTTTCTCAAGATTACAGGGCCTGAAATGGGGTCGTGGTGCCCAGGATGCTTTTCTATCAGGCTTTTATGGTTTAGGCTCATCGCGCCTGATCCTCACAAAGCCCACCCTAGGGAAAGCAAAAGAAAAGGTTGCAAGAATACCGTGGGATGATATAATATACGGTATGTTTTGAGACACAGCCAGATGGGATCGCCCCCCCGCCTGCTCCTGAAGCTTTCCTAGTGGCAGCCCGGTGATCTTCTTGGTGCCGCCCGGCAGCAAGAGCCTGGGGGATGCGACAGTTTCCCTAAATGATGTAGACCCCAAAATAATATAATCCTTAATAAGGACCCCCAAAAGGGTGCCGTGAATTTTCGGCAATCCTATCAGTCACGAATGATTCGTGCATTACTCAAGGGGGCAGATATTGGGATTCTGCAGGACTTTTCTGCTGATTCTATGCTTATCAAAGTATGGTAACACATCACCGCTCTTCTTTCCCTACCTCAGGTTCAACTGTCATCGCCTTGGCTAGGTCATTCTTGGGCAGGGCTAATTCTTGGATGGCTGCGCTACAAGGGATCTTGACTGCTTAGGCCCCTGTACATGTTGGGAACAGGGTCTGTAATGGTCTCTATATGCTATTTATATACATATGTCCACTAGACACCTCTCTCTTTACAATCCTGTTCATAAGGATGATAATGAGATGGTATTCCTAAATTCTCAGGCCCCTATGCTACATGCAGACAGGGGCCAAACAAATAAAGCTTCTGAGCTGCTCTGAAAAAGCTGTTCAGCTGCAACGGATGCCCAATTCTAGGACCTAAACCGCAAAGTGTGTTTGGACGCCGCTCCCAATCATTTGCTGAGCCCGCTGCAAGGTGAACTTAAACTGCGAAACGAACTCCTCGGTGCAACATAGCTGCCCAAGGTGCATCTTGGAGGTTTAGCTAGACTCTTTAGAAGTTCAGGGCTTTGTGAGGCGTGGTCTGGGCCGTACGACCGGACAAACCGTCAGGTCGACAAAGGAAGGAGCTTGCAGTTTCTCACCAGTAGGACTTTCTGGGAAACTTGGGTAAACCGTTAGCAAAACTCTGGATCCGATGGCTGGGTTAAGCAGAGCCGACCTCAACATCTCCGAGGCCCCCGTCACCCTCGAACAGCAATCCGCCAATGGCAAAAAAATAGCACAAGTAACAGCCATGATAACAAGAAAATAGGAATCATGATAAGTTTAGTAGTAACACTAATAGACAATAGTCATGGTGCAGACCCGTGGCCCTGAAGTTTCAGTTCTGACAGTGGGTCCTGTCAAGCAGTGGCGGGCAAATCTTTTCGAGGGCGTGTGCGTGAATAGGGGTCTGATACTATCCGTATGCAACAACATGCGCATTGCTGAATGGGCCCCCTGTTCTCTGACACTTCGACATGCATGCTTGCACCCCGAACGGCAGCAGTCTGTCCTGCGCACTGTGCGTGAGAAAAATTAAGGGGGGTCTCTTGACAACTCCGTCGCACGTTAAGGCTTGGCACTAAACCTTCTAGCTGAAGCGCTGAACCTTGTGGATTGGCAGCCTGGGTTGGACTCCAGCTCCCTTACGACTCTTAAATTTTTCTATTTCCTACAGAAGGATGGCATCAAATATATCTCAAAATACAGCCCACGCAAGGCGTTTAGGCTCAAACGAAGAGCTCTTTGCTGCAGCTAAGCGTCACTGTGTGCTTCCTTCAGCACAGGGTACCTCGAATTCGGGCATACCGAACCATGGCCCCTATCGAAACCCATACAACTTTGGAGGATTTTTGCCGGTAAGGCAAAGGCGTTCAGAAGAATCGATGAAAGAGAAAGCGTAAGAGTTTCTGTACGAGTTTCTGGTTATTGTTTCACAAATAGCCCAGGACCGGCATAGACAACAAGAGGCGCCACCTAACAACAATACAGAGAGTCGATTTTTTTTCGAACATGGGCATCTCATCCTATAGGCAGTCCGAAAACAGAAATGTAGCCACACATCACCCTCCAGTTTGCCATATCTCCACCCTAGCAGAAGTTCCTATTGCCTCTGAACATTCCTGACATAAACCCTGCAGCGTTCACATGTACAAGCCAAATCAATGCACCGGGACCTCTCCTACATGACTACTAAACCAAGAAGCCCTTACTGCCCTACAAATCCTGCAAGCCATTCATAGCCCTCATTCTTTATGCTTTCCTTACCAATTGATCATGAAAATGCAGCAAAACACGAGATGAATAGTGGCAAAATGAGGAATAGTCTCAGTAATGACATGAGAAAAGGCTAGCAGAAAACATCAACACAAAACCGGGACGGTTAGAAGTAGGAAGTGTAAGATCGCTTACTATTTCTACCCCAACATAAACCATACACCCCAGACCACTAACCCCTATGCCCCGCAAGTAAACAACCCAAACCCTGAACCGCGCTTGACTTTCTGTAACGGCAATTGCAGCGCGCTGGCGTGGGGATTGGTTTCAACTTTTGTGCGGGCAGCACGTAGCCATCATAATGCCGACATAAACGTTGGTAACCCCACCTACCCTACATAACCCCACTATACCGTATAGCTCCATGCATACCTCTGAGGCTCCGCCCCACAGTCCGAATCCTTATTGCTGAATCCTGACCGAAAGCAGAAAAATCCAACCCTGACCAAACAAGCTGTTCCTATGAAGCTGACTGAATGATAGCGGTTCCAAAGCCAGAAAGGCTATTGAAACATGAAGGATGATTTCCCAGCATGACCCAGTCTCCTGAAAGCCCCAAGCTGCGGCCCCGGCTCGTCGAGGAGCTCATGTCGCTTGGCCTCAGAGACGCCCACGCGGGCCACCTGAGCAAAGGGCCATGTCTTTGCGGATTGCTTACTGGGGGTTGGCAGGGAATCAGGGAATATATCATGTAGGGATTACATAGGGATTGTATTCCCTTATTCCCTATTAAGCACCGGTAAGATTAGGGGCTTTCTGACTGAGTTTTCATTGGGTTTCCTGTGTCATTCCAGCTTTTAAGGTCATTCAGGAATGAACAGCCAACCAAAATAAAAGGATTCCTGCCTTACAAAGGCACCAGGTATCGGGTATAGGGCTTAGGGGTTCAGATTCCACCTGGGCAAGGGGCATCTGTGAGCTACTTGTCGGGGTTAAGGTTCAGAGCTCGGGGTTCAGGGCTCAAGATTGAAGGATTTCAGTGTATTTCAGGAAGGCACCAATATTCCTCCAGGGTTTCTGCATCGTCTCTGGGACCCTCAGCTGCAAAATTACTCAGGAGCACAGAGTCAAACTAGCTAGTTCAAGGAATCCTCAGGATACATGAGCTGTAGTTTTTTCTCTGTCCTATAATAGGACTCTATATAGTCCCCTATGCAACCCCTTCAAGGAATTTAGACTACAGCTCACATGGGGATTCTGAGGGATGATGACCTTTCCTGAGGTTTAGGGATCTGGGCTTTGGGATTGTATTCTGGAGACCATGATTGATGGATCGAATCCTACTTCAGAAGCTAACTCACCTGAGCTTGCATCCTTTGGTGTTGTGCAGAAAAATTCTGGAAACCCAGCTTTCATAGTTCTCTAAATTAAGTCTAGTGGAGATAAACTTGCTTGAGATGGTTTTTTAGAATCTAACCAAGACAAAATTCCTCAGAAAACATTTTCAGGATATTCAGGGCAATCTCATCTTCATGGCCGCTGCGATCCCTGGCGTACTTGTTCAAATCTCCATGCGCGCAACGGCATTTGATCCTATTGGGCGCTGCTAGTGTAGAATTTGCTTGGTGGATATCATAACACCGGCCGTACATAAAGTGGGGAAAAGGAAGGGGACCCTTCTTTTGGAGCGAGGGTTTCCCATACCAACACCCAATGAATCGGCACGAAGCAACCCTCCCAGAAGAGCTCTCCCAGTCTCCATTTCATTTTCCAATTTCTTTTCCATTTGATTCTCCATTATTGGGGTCCCTCCCCAATATATATCCCCAATACATATCCCCAATATCCCCAATATATCATCCCTATACATCTTGCTAAAGCGCCTGTTCGTCTTCAATGGCCCGCAAAGTGAACGGCAGAGCCGGGAATCGTCGGTTCACCTGCCAAGCTCTGAACTTGGACAGTCAGGCGGAACATTGTCAGCCGTGAATTATTGGGAAAACTGAAGCGAAGGCAAATGGCTTACAGGCGTTGCCTGTATAGTTTTGAGGCTTGCAAGGTTCGAAGTGAGCTTCGGGCAGCCCCTGCGCAGGAATCCCGAGCAGGAAAGAATCGCACCCTCCCCGAAACAATCACTGAACTTAAAAAGGGGCCGAGCATCCCTTAAAAAGGGGCCCAAAGTGACTTCAACGTTGGTTTAGGTGCCGGCACAAGCACTCTAATCTGACTTCACACCGCTACGCACCGCTAGAGTTTTAGGATTTAGTGTGTAGTGTCATGGAGTTGGGGCTCCATTTGTAGCGAAATTGAATTGAAAGTTTACTGTGGCTCAAGCATCCGATCCTGGCAACATGCAGGATTGCGAGCATGACTACAAAATCCCCATGGGGTTGTCGCAGTTGGCATGTTGGTTCCTGCGAACATGTGGAGCGATGGAGAGATTTTTTAGACGAAGGGTTTTGGGTTTCGGACTCCACGGCAACCATAGAACAAATCTTCATGAGAAGGACTTTCAAAAAAAAGAACCCTAACCTTCCTCCTTTTCCGGTCGAAGCCAGCGGCTAGTCCCTAGAATTATTCTTACTGTGGGCTAGCAGGGAATAGGGGAATGTATTATCTAGGGATTCTATAGGGATTATGTTCCATTTTCCCTACTCATCACCAGGAAGTTTTGAACGGGAGCCAGAATATAGTGCTCCTTAAGTGGATAGAATATGGCTTTGGGTATATAATAAGATCCCCATATTCCCCATATTCTATCTACTCAAGGGGGACTATAACCAAAAACCCTAAACCCTAAACCCTAGATAGTAGTTTCCATTTTCTTTTCCATTATCCCTATATAACCCCTATAATCCCTTAAGGGGGACTATAAACTAATTGATGCTGAGCCTCAAGGGGGACTATAGCCTCATGAAAATGGCCGATGTCAACTCCAGCTTCTCAAGCTCCAGCGTTTACTTATTGGGGGTTAGTAGGGAATAAGGGAAGATAATCCCTATAAATATATATATATATGTATATATATATAATCCCTACAGAGTTTTCCATTATACCCTACTCCTACTACCCCCCAGTGAGTTTAGGTTCCGGGGTTCAGTTCTGGGTCCCGTTTTTGGGTGCGATGCAAGCTGGGCGGAAAGTTGGATTCAACAACTCCATACCTTGACCCACAAAACAGCAGGATCTGGGATCCCTTACGGGCCTCAGGGGTTCGGACAACCGGGGTCCCAAACGGTAGAGCCCCAATGGACCCAAGATTTCGTGGAAGTCGGGCAGAGTCTGACATGCTGCACCGGACAACAATCAGGTTTGCAATCGTCTTGATGGATGTTTGACTGCAACATTGTGAGACATTGGTGGGCGCACTCGAAAAGAATTGTTGAACACCCAATTTGATGTGAGTCTTCCAGATGTATTCACTTCTCCATCTGGGCTCCATAAACTGCCACGATTTTCCGTGGGTGTGCTGCATTAGCGAGCCGAACAATATGCTGACTTCAAGTCAAGGCGTCATATCCTCGCAGCTGATTGAAGCATCTGCAGGACGGCTGTTGCCAGGGTGTCCGCGGCCAGAAAAGCATGCAGTTTTGCAGCGAGACCAGCACAACCGACACAAGAAAGAGAGCCAGGTAGGCTTCATGCCTGCTTAACAGAAAGCACTCCAGTGCCCCCTCTTCGACAGAAAATGCAGCAAATGTAATAGTGAAGGCCAGCACGCCGCAAGCCCAGGCTAGCAGGCCTCTCCAAAGACCTGGTCCTATACTTGCAGAAAGTCCCTTCATCATGTGGAGCAGTACTGCATATGCTGCTGGGCAAGCATGTAACGAAATGATGTTCCCGGCGACAAGGTTGACCAACAGATATCCTTCGATGGACCCATACCCAATTTCCTTGTACCAGCCTCTTGCAACCCAAATGCAAGACCCGAAGAACAGGACGGTTGGCATGAACACCAATGCGCAGAAGAACCATGGCACGTGGGTTTCTGCACCCAGGTCGTCGATGACTGCATTGCGAAGCGGGCCGCGAACGTAGGCGTTGAACTGGTCAAGGCGATCTTCGTCATCACGCGATAGGAGAGAGCCTCGGTTCCTGCTACTTCAATGGGTATAATTCACAAAGCAGGACTACTACACTACTACACTATCCATGTCATCATATGTCCAAAGGTCAGGAAAAACCAGGCCGGGAGGCGCGGACTTGTAGGCTCCCTTCCTTCGGACGGGCTGGCTACAACAATCATGGTCTCCCCATTCCGGTCTCCCATCCTGGGCTGTATTAGAGAACCTCTCTGAATCTGAAAGCCTCTGGTGCAAGCTTGCAAGGGAAGGTAAAGTAAAAGAGACAACCAAGCATCAGGTCCGCCACTTGAACTTCAATGACACTGCGGTCCTCCTCTTCAGAACATTTGGAGGCTCGAACATCCTTAGGTCTTGAACTGTGAAGACCTGGGTCTTTGCCGTTCCATGGTGGGTACGTCTCACACCAGGTACACTGTCCACCGCTCCATGCAACGGTAAACGTTTTCACTTGCAGATCCAAGAATCAAAAGATTCCATGTTGCGCAGCATAGCCTGATGCCCATCAAGCTTGTTCTGAAATGCGATAACGGCCACCTGGCTTGCACAGAAAACAGGCAAGTCTGGCAACATCTTACTTAATCTTCAACCCCGGTGTCGTTGTGGTGGTGGTATTGGCGTTAATATTGGTAATGGTGGTAATGTTGGTAGTGGTAGTATTGCTGGTATTGGCAGTGCTCTTGGTCGTCATCGTGGTCATATTCGTAGTCGGCGGTGTCGGCGTCACGAGCATTCTTCTGCTGCTCATAATGCTTTGCAAGCAGGATGCACTTTGTTTGGGGCCGCAGGATTTAGGGACAACCTTTGTGGCTGGTCTGAGATGCCCCCAATGATAACCACGTTCAACACATCTATCAAGCCATATTCTACGTTCTAGTTCATTCCCAACACATTGAGCTCTCTTTCGGCACTGGGCCCCAGGTGGAACAGGTTGTGCTTTCTCTCGGGGTTTGTGGGTTGTTTCCCAAGTGTGCAAGCAAGCCACAACGCAGAAGGGCATGGACTCCACAGCAAAAAGAAAGCAGAGCGTGAAATACCCCAGCAAGCGGTTCAGGCCACAGGTACTGCCCAGGGATGCCACCTCCCCTTGCCTGGCTCATGGCTCAGATACACGACAAAGAATGCCAGCCAGACACATATCAAGACCGGAGCATCATACACGGAGCCAGGCTCCATGAGAGAAGCGATAACTTGTTTTCATTGAACTCATTTTGAAAAACCTGCTTCATGCTGAGAAGCGGCGAATCTTGCAGAACGACACCAAGACGTGCATTCAGATACGAGAAGAGTATGCCTCGGCTGTTTTTTGAACGACTTCCGAATAAAGCTGCAGGCTATATACCCTGGAAAGATGGGATCATTGATTGGAAAACATCCTGGGCTGCGCGTATCATGCCTTTGTTTACTCTCTCACGTGCAGAGCCTTTAACGGCTTCCCTTTTCTGTCAGCCAGAAGAGTGATTGCGATGTTTTGGGAAGTAATTCCTGTGAAATGAGCGTTTATCAGAATCTTGGGTGCTTGCGGCCACTGCAACGATACGTTCCGCATGCCATGGCTCGTCAAAACAGTTGTTCTGGCAAGTGCAAAGCGCTCACATTGTGTCGTGCATGGTAGCCCAGAGCAGTGCCGAGCAATCCTGCAGAGCTTGTGGCAATAGTGAATCACGCCTCACTCGGGCCACTGGGGCAAATCCCCATTGTCTTTGCCAAAGCTCAACACGCGCCAAGCACAAAGTACTGCAATGTTGGAGTCTCACGTTGCCCGTGGGAATCCTAAACCCTAAACCCCCATGAATGTGGTAGCTTCCATTTCCTCTTCCACTCCCCCCCTATATCCCTACCCGTACCCGTGAAGTGCCACGCCTCTGGGCCTGGCAACAATAGCAGATAGTCTTGGCCCTCTACACTGACCCGGTAACCATGGAGAGTAACCTGCCAGCTGCAATATTCATCGTGTCCAGGTATAAACTGTATAATTTGTGATGTATGCTTTTCTGTAGCACCGAAACATCGAACCTCATTTGGAAAGGGCTTCAAGTATCAGGTAGCTGCAGCCCAGATACTGACAGTCAGCCATGGAGGCAACCACAAGGGTACCACACGAAGATGCTTCAGACCCCGGCGTTGCACGAAAATGGAGAGCTCGTAATTACACCACAACCTGAGCACTGATTCGTTCGGTTCCCAAAGCCGGCAAGGTTTCTTCCTGTCCGTGGGTGCTGAATACAAAAAGTGGAATCTTACATCCTTCCGTGCCAGTGTCAATGTTATAATCTCGGCAGGGGTTTACTTGAAGATACTGATGTCTGCCAACATGAACTAAGATCTGCCTTGAGTCTTATCCCCCCAGACTTGATTCTTGAATCAGGACCTTCAAATGGGAGAATAGCTTGGACACATAGTCCCGCTCCTTCCACCTCCCTCATGACAAATGTTCCGAACGTTAGATACCAATTACACGCTTCGGATGGCTCCCCTCAGAGGCACGCAGAGAAACCTGAATGCCTTTGGTATCCCAACAATCCCCTGCAGCTTTCGTGTATTTCCAAGAGGTAGTGTTTCCCATATACCCCTTGTTGCTTGTTATAGGAACCCTCCCCGAAATTCAAAAACATACCCAAGACCTATGGAATCGTAAGTAGAACCCTGTAGACGGAGATGCCCCACCTGTCAGGGTAGGATAATATTCCTTGAATATCAGCTTACATCCCTACATAAGCCCTACATATGGTAGTTTCCATCTCATTTTCCATGTGATTCTACAGTGTGACTCTCTAGAGGGGGATGTCCCGCCTCTCAAAGTAGGATTGGTCGACCAGAGCCAGCATTTGATTGGAGCGGGCCACGAAGGTGGGCAGCCTTATACGGTTTAGAGTTGAGGGGGTCTAGGCTTTAGGGGTTGTGAGGTTTAGGAGTTTTGGGGTTGGGCGGCTCGGGGTTGAGGTCTTCTTGGGTTGCGGGGCACCTAAGCCCCAAACCTTCAAAAACTGCGGTGCTCTATGAACGCTGCCGCATCCTACAGGCATCTGTGCAAACAATTTGCGGAGGGTAGATTGAAGGCACAGTTGCAATGCCAAGGGATTGCTTTAGGGGGTGTCTCCAAGCACCACGAACCTCCTGAACTGAAGCCCACACCTGACACCCCTGCAGTACATATGTCAGCTTTCATACAGAAGGCTTTCCCAAAATTAGGGAGGGGACTGTTATGTGGACCCCCGAGCCTGGCTGGAAAATGCCAGACTACTTACTGTCAGGAAGTATTTCCCAAAATTAAGGGTACTAATATGGGGCCTCCTGTGATAAGGATCCTCATATTTTGGATCTATATGGGGGTCCCCCTATTCCTAGAAGCTTCCAAACACTTCCGAAAGCCCAAAACCCTTCCGAGCAGCCCTTCGAGACCAGCCGTCTTGCTGGAACAGCTCGATTGATCGATGCAAAGTTTGTCCACCCACCTGAAGGCTTTGCCGCGTCTTTTTCGGACTATAGCGGGTACAAATGTAGGGATTACACGAGTTCAGGGCTTGGATTTAGAGATGGTCAAGGGGCTGAGTAGGGTTCGTAGGGGAGCATTGAGAGTACAGCGGCTGTGGGCTTCACCTGTAGGCTGCCAAAACGAACACCTGGAAAAGACGGAGACCTATGTATTCATAACTAAAGGTGTATATATATATATATAAATATGTATGCATGCATGCATGTATGTATGTACGTACGCATGTATGTATGAGAAACGGACAAAACCTCTTGTCGCCAATGGTCAAAAATCCCTTGCTCTTGCTGCAATCTTGTTCCATATCGTTTTACATACTCCAGAGCCTTTTGGAGGGGACCATATCATTCCTACTCGGCTTGCAACCAATTGACTAAATCTACTACTATCTCTTTTTGCAACATTTGAGTCGGGCCTTGAATCTCATTTCTCAACAAATTTGCGTTCAAGCATAAAAATGCTGATCTCGTTATTTGTGAGGGACCATCTCGTTTTACAAGCTAAATACATGATTTCCAGCACTTCTGATCGATCCTTGACATGTTTAAAAAGACGGAACTTTAAAAGTCACTCACACACACACACATATATATATATACAAGGACTATATATGGTTTGTCTTTCTGGAGAGATAGCATGGCAGTCTTCAGGAGATGTACACTAGTCAACTTAGGAATCCTATGCGAGGAGCAAGTAAATATGTGTGAACCGAATGCCGATCTCGTTCACATCTTCTTGAAGGGTTTTGGCTGACAGACTATCTGATCAAACCGCCTAAAGCAGCCCACAGGCTACCAACAGGTCATGACATCGTAAAGCCCGAAGCCCTAAGCGCTGAACCAGAGAGTCTTATCCCCCCGGACCCTAAATCCTGAATTCCGCAAACATGAGGGCTGCCCACATGCTCGGGCACCAGAGTCGGCATGTTAGGTGCTGGCCGAAAAAAAATGCCAGGAAGAAGACGAGCACTGGCAAGTCCATCGACATGAAATACCTCAACTACTATGAGTAAAAGAAACACAAGTCGTTTCAAAGGTCCTAAGCCCAGAGCCCAAATCAACAAAACCAAGAAGGGGCCTAGGGACACCACAGCATCTGCACACTGCACTGAAAGGATCACCATCCAGCCGGAGATTGAGACAGCTGCGGCGCTCTTCCTGCAGTTCCCCCCCACCCCCCACCCCCCAACCCCCCCGCCCGACTTTAAACCGATGCTTTGTATTTCTGCTTTTCCCAGAACCCAAGGGGGAAACAAGCAAATTTGAGCCAAGTTGCACGGCAAGGCTGAAGTTCAAAAAGAAGCATACCCCCAGATACTTTCGCCAGCGCTCCGCGGCCCAAGAATGGCTAAGGAAGACATCGACCTCAGGGGCATCCATCCTGATTCAACCTGTGGAAAGATTTTGCTAGTCATTGCTCTGCTTTTGTGGGTGGAGTCTTGACCCCTCTTCTGATGAAAAGCCGCCTGATCCACCTGGAAGGTTCGATTGAAACGCTCCGCATCCTCAGCAGGCTCCGTGGAAGTATCGAACACGCGCGCAAAGTGCGACAGCACGTCGAGGCCTTGCGCGGGGCTAGCCCAGTTTCTTGAGAGAATGATTTACTAACTGCCAACAGTACCAGTTGTTTTATCGCGGCTGATGCCAGCGACTCTTTCTGTGGCTTTCTTGTCAAACAACACCCAGCACCCCCCCCAAAGGCTCAACTCGCACAACCTCCACCATCTTCCGCTTAGGCAATTGGCCGCGCGGCTCTGCATAAGAATTGGAGAGAAAAAGCTTTACCATGGCCATGTTCAGGAAAACATCCTGCGCTACCGTGACTTCGCATCCTTTTGCATGAACAAACCCCTTGGTTCATTGACCTGTGTTCTGTTTCTGGCATCATCCGCGCAGTCTGGAAATTCTCAGATTCTCAGGACTTCAATACAAAGCCCTTAATCTCTATATGCCTCAAATTTGACTTTCCACTTGGTTTTGTTTTGTTGGGAGGGGGGAGGTCATATTTGACCTGGGAAAGGAGGCTTCGGATGCCTACGGCAAGGTGCCTGACACGGCACGAAACAAACCGCTTGCACAGAGCTCCTCGGCCCGCAATCGCGGGAGCTCCATGGCTTGGGAGGAGGTCGAGCTAAGAACGGGAAGAACAGCAGTGGAAGGTTGTAGTAACAAGAACTCTCACATTGGCTATAATAGAAGTAATGTCAGCAACAGTGGTGGCAATGTTGCTTCACACTCCTAACGGCGAGAGTCTTGAGAGTGTTGGTCACGGCATGAGTTGCGACAGGCGCGATTAAGATGTGTGAGCAACTCGCAGAATTGATTTCATATTGTGGGACCGTTCAACGAACCTTCGAACTTCGACCGCAGCTCGAACAAGTTGCTACATGTCTAGCAGTACACATAAGCAAAATCCCCTTGGCGGCTTCAACTGAGCTTGACTATACTGAATTCACAAAAGCTAGCCTGCGCACTCCGAAGTACTAGGTACCCATTGATTCCAAGAACTATCCAACTGCCCCGAAGACGCGTACATCCTTAAACGCAGCCCGGCTCGTTCAACCATCCACCTCTGCATAGAGTACATCTTGAGGTCTCTCGAGTCTTCTTACGATCTTCCCTGGGAATCTCTAAATGTCCGCCGCCGCAAGGCTTGATTCCCAAAACTGCCTCCCAACCATCTTCAGAGCTTCTGGCAGCCACGAAATGTCAAATCAGGACATACAGTGCCGTCGCCGTGACTAACTCTGACATCAGAATCACTACGCGGTTCCTTCATGCTTCTTCAGGAAGTCCTTTCATTCATAGCAAATGAGAGGCCTCAACAGGATGGGCTTGGGATGAGAAATGGCAGGCCATCAAGATGGAAGCTTCTTAAGCCAGCGCCCCTGCGTGCCTCTCCCCCTAATATGATCTCACAGTAGGGCACCCCTAGAAAAAATGTGATGTACAGCAAGAGCGTAGAACATCGCCGACATCATCCTCATGGAAGCCAGTGCAAGGTCGAAAAAGCAGGCTGTCCGTGCCTCCGAAATGAATTGCCTGGCCTTTTGAGTCTTCAGGCTATACATGTTCTCCACCTCAGTTTTGTGGGCTTCGTGTTGCAAGCTTGAGATGTAGGATTCGGAGTTTAGGGCCCAGGGTAGGCCCTTGGGGGTGATTTGGCGTGCGCATCTCGGGGGGATCACCTGTGCATTCCCCTACCGAAGCACCAAGGATGTTCTTACGGCCTCCAGTGCCACTGTGTCCGTCGACACCCTCCAGCTAGCTGTTGCTGGGGGCATTCGGTTCACGGTGTCTACGTCTGGTTTTCTGACAGCCACACATAACATTGCAATTTTGCACTTCCCCCAATAAGACGCCCTATGCCTGAAAGCTGCAGACTGCTATTTGAATTTGAGCCTTCTGCAACCGTCAAAGTGCGTTGGTCACCAGGATGTCAGCCCGCGAAAACTATTGCAAAACTCATGAAGATGACAAGGTTGAATTAGGAGGCTACGAAGAGGTCCATCCATTGCCCTACGAACTGAAGCCGTGTTACGATAGCAACCATAATGATCTCAATCTCGGTAGTCATCACTGCAAGTATTCTTATACTACTATAGGGTTATATTGGGATAATGGAAAAGAAAATGGAAGCTACCATATTATAATAGGCTATATATATAGGGATAATACTATAGGGTTATGTAATACCAAAAAGCCAACAATACGGACGAAAACGATAGGATAGCATTGATGGGTCCACACATACCCCTCCAACGCCAACTCCCGACCAGGGTATTGTCTCAAGGGATGTAAGAGCGAATTGGCCTTTTGACTGGTCAGACTGTTCCTGGGGTGTTACCGACAAGGTTTCATGCTCATCAATCCTTCAACCCTGAACTGTGGGAAGTTCGTCTGCCTGATCCCTAAAGCAAGTACCCTTTCATCTAAGCTCCTTGCAGCTCGCTTGTAGACAGTATTTCTGAGTTCCGTCTCTTTGCCACGGCCTGGGGCAGGGGGCTCTGGCGCTGACGACATAGGTGTTGTTGTTGCTGCTGCTGTTGATGCGGAAGCTTGCCAGGCCGGAAAGCATTCTCTCATGTTGCTTCACACTGCTTCAGCTCCTTCCTTCTTCTAGGGACCAAGCGCTAGGGGAGGCGAACTGTGGGGTCGGCTCCTACATTGGGAGCTCCTCGGAATCAAGGTCCCTTGTGTCATTCCTCATGATGATTGTCGTCATTATTCTTAATCTGGGTTGGAACGCTTGTTGAAGGTTTCATCCTATGATGAACGACGTTCACGCGTTTACTTCTTCAATCCCATGGAGCCTACTGACATGCAGCAGACGCAGTGGCAAAGACATTGATCTGGAGAAACCCGGGGTTTCCCCAAATTGGAGTACCTTTTTGTGTGTTCCTTCAACACGGATAATGACTATATTATGTTGGGGTCTTTATTGGGGTCCCTCAACATAAGGCAACTACCATCCCGATTCTTGGATTCAGCATCAGGGTTGTGAGCTGAAAGCTATACACCTAAGCCGGCCCTTGGAGCAATTTAACATCCCAGCCTCACCCTATACCCTCAATTTTTAACCCGCCAAACCTGTAAAACGAAAATCTCCAAGCCTTAAATTCTAAACTCCACATCCTAAAACCTAGATCGTGTACTTATACGTCGAATCTCTAGCTAGGCAGCCGGCCTTCACCGGTGGACATGACAATGTCGATGCTATACACCTGTTTCAGGCTTGCGTTTAGGTTTGGGGCTTTCAGGTTTAAAGTGTTTTAGATTTGGGGCTTCTGGCGCTTGGAAAGGCGGACTTCCCTTCTAGTTGTAATCGGGTAAGGCATGGCAGGAAAGGAATCTGCTCACTGAGATTTGTCTTCACGGGGATACAGTGCTGTTTTACTTCCCATCCCTACCTCCTCTCATTGTGAGCGTGTTGTGTTATACGGTGCAGTGCCTGTGGAATGCGCACACACTTACATTACACTATCACGCTAGGCAACGTGGCATTACGTCACATGATGTCACACTACATTGCCTACATTAGGTGCATAATGTGCCTAACGTGCATACATGCGTGCATGCGTGCATGCATGCATACAGATAGACAGACGCGCATGCGTTCATGTACACGTGTGAAGCGGTTCCTCGTTCAAAAGCAGCGGTCGTATGTCCGAAGAGATGTCGCCAATCCGGGACTTTCAAACATTATGTTGATAGCTTTGGGACTGCTCTGAGTCTGCGGGCCCTGTTTGATTCTAGGTTGGAAGCTCCAAACCCCAAAAACAATTCGTTGGACCTTGATGTTAAGCCCCTGTCCAAGTCGGTCGGCTAAAGCCAGCCTGAGCCCAAGTCTTGCAAGAGACGAACTCGGCGCCTCGTTGAGCTCGAACTCGAACTCCTCAACCTGAAATTCAGAGCTCAGCACCACTCAGCTGCACTTCTCTTTAACTCGTTGACAGATAAGCCTAAGCTTCCGGAAAGCTGATGGAGAGCACTGTGAAAGCAGTTTCGCCCGCATCTGCTGGCACAAGGGCATTCATTCCACCAGGGGCTGGATCATGGCCCCATTGTCTCCTTCTCCATCTGCCATCATGCTATGCCGCTGATAAATCGTGTTTTAAGAACAAAGGCGTTACAACGCTTCAAGCCTTTAGAAGTCCTGAAAGCTGAAGGCGCAATCTTCGGCCCAAGACACCTTCTCCTCCGGAGTTTCGGCACAAATGATGGTGCGATTGCCATCGATGACGTGCTTCTTCAGCTGATGGGAGAGCACGCCTGGAGTAGGGTGCAACAAGACCTGGCCCGTAACCTTCCAAACATGTTGGTTGAAGCTAGTGGGCTACAGGGATCATGACAGGCGTTTAGTAAAGGGGATTGAATGGTGCTTGGAGCTAGGTCACACTGCTGGGCCAAAAGTTCTTGGAAATCTTCACGTAGACAATGTCTTGACAAGGGACAGTCTCACATTCAAAAACCATGAAGACATAGGAGACTGCTTGCCAGGAACGCTCGCAAATGGTACTCTGGGACTTCTCCCAGCATTCCCTCTCGGTGCAAAGCTGGCTAGTGCGCCAAGGTGAGCGACTCCCAATATTGCTCATTGTCGACGCGTCCTGTCTAGTCAGTTTGTCCCAACCCCTACTGCCCCATGAAACACTCATGAAACCAAGAACTTTCAACAACCCAAGGGCAAGCCTTGCATGGGCTTGACTTTGAAATCTTCAGCAATCTTGGCAAAGGCCTCGGTCACCTGGCTGAAGGGGAATTGGAGTTTAGGGTCTTTAGTTGTCCAGACAAGAACCTTCATTCTTATCAGGGGTAGCAGTCGCACCGACTACGTCAAGAAGAATAAGAAACATAAGAAATGGCGAGGCAGAGGCCCTTGACGAGAATAAGACAGCACAGCTCACTTTTACGGCAAGCTAGGCTTCAATGCGGCTTAAGTTTCGGATGGAGACGTCTGCTCCATCACCCGATGCTTCGTAACAAAAGCTGGTGGATCATTGTTAGCATTGGTATGATGCCTACTATTATTTATTCGTCGTTTGTATTAGTTCTCATTGCCCGCACATTTGCCTATCTTGGTCTGACAGGTGCGACGAGAAACGTTTTCCACACACCTTTCAGGCGCACGTCCTCTTTGGGAAGTTGTTAGGTTGGCTGCAGTGGGAAACCCTAAGTCATGCCCTATGCCCTCTTCCCAAATCAGCAGCCCCTGCACTGGGTACCTGCGTGTTTGTGTGACCGACCTGGACCAACCGCAGCGCCGCCTGGCAAGTTCAGTGATGGTCATGATCTCTGGACAACTGTCAGATCAAAATTCCTTTTCTGGCACTGGGGCCTCCCTGGTATACCACAAACCTAATCTGCTACCTATTGTAGAGAGCACCCAGAAAGGACTCGCGACTCTGCGAAGCCTCATGCGGGTCAACGTTATGCTGATGAATGTTGATGATGCAGAGTTTATGCCTGAAGTGCAGTTTCCATAATGAAGGAAACCAGAGAGGCATGCGCAACGCTAAGGCCAAATCTGGAGAACTGAATCATACCGGTTTAGGAAAGTTCTTTGTCTCACACAATGAAGTACCCGGAGTTTCTGAACATAAGCCCTATAGAACTCAACGGAAATCCCGGATAACCCCTTTGCAATCCTTATATGTTCCTCAGGTCCCTAAGGATGAAGGCCCGTGATTCATAAACTCCTCTCTTTCATGGGGGTTATAATAGGGATCCTAATTTCAAGGCTCCTAAAAAGAAGGGGTCTGTTAATGATGGGTCTACATAATTTGATACAGCCCCAGATTCTGACAAACACTGGAACCTCTGCAGCGTTCCAGGCAGCCATGATGACATCCGCCTGCTTCCCGGTGACCTGCAAACATGTTTCAATGCTCCCAGGCTCCAGCCTTACCATAATGGGTATATAGGGTGAAGGGGGATATAGGCTATATAGGATAGACAGGGTACATAGGGTTTCTGGGGCATAAAGGGTATATAGGGTTCAGGGTTTAGGCCGTGTTGTGGGTCACATGGAAAAGAAAATGCAGACTACAACTATTTATTGTGGTGATATAGGGATAACGGAAAATATGGAAACTGCTGTATTATGGGGTTTAGGGTTTCTAGGGTTTTATTTAAGTGCGCTAGCTTCAGGGACTAGGGCTTGAGGCTCAGGGTTAGGACTTAGATTTTGCTCTCGGGGTAGGGCTTAGACAGGGCCTGCATTGGGCCTAGATTCCTAGACGGATGTCGGAAGCACTACACTGTAAACTTGGCCCACACTACCATTTCCCCGAGGAAAAAAACCGACAACTCCAAGTACAAAAACGTAAGCCAAATGTCGGGACCTGCAATACACAAGAACAAGAAAACTACCCAAATCATGCGGCTCTCACACAATTTGGCATCTTGGGAATCCTCAGAAGAAGGAATAAGTATTCAAAAGCTTTAGCAAAATCCTACCTCATTTTCGAGATGCACACATGTGGCTAAGCAGAACGCAGGCATGATACATCTTGTGAGATATAGCAATAAGGCTAGCATCGGGCATGCCAATCATAGGGGAGCCTTAGGAACTATTCTGGGTTGCTGTCAAGGAACTTAAATTAAGTTACTATATTGGGGAAACCATGTTAGTTACTCTATATCTATTTATATATATATTTAAATGTATATCTATACCCATCATGTTAACTTAATTTAAGTTCCTTAACAGCAACACAATATTTTCCATGTCATCCAGTCCCTAGCCTCGGACTCTGAACCACATCCCGCCCCGCCTTCTCCCCTCCCACAATAACGGTGTGAGCCGCAGAGGCGATGAAGCCTGCCGCGTGTAACTGGCTCGGGCATCATGTGTCTGCCACCATTGCTTAGAATCGTTCTGCTTACTTCTAATGCTGCTAATGCTTACCCCATCCAGTTTCTGATTGGCCCTGAAAATACAGGTCCCGCTCGAGATTTCGGTACATGAGGCTCTAAGATAAGGCGGCTTGCTTAGTAAATGCTCGAGTGCCAAGATGCGCGAGCGAGAGAAAACTGATAAAAGTGCCGGGGATGCCGTCAATGTGACACGCCAGGTCAATCTTGGCGATATCGCCCGCCTTCAATTGCCTGCTGCCAGATTTGGATTTGTCAAAGCTATGGGCTCCTGCAAAGCACTCTCCGAGCAGGAATAGAATGAGATACCCTCCCGTCATCTATAATGAATTGGCTTTGATGAGCAATCTTCTCGGTAGCTCTGGATTCTGCAGGGTTTCTGGACACTGCGATTTTGAGCCGCTGAGCATGTCGCTCCAGCGTGGGGGGCTCAGGGCTCAGAGCAACACGCCCTTGGTGCATAATGAATTCATACAGTGGCATGAAAACAGGGCACTGAGCTTGGAAAAGATGCCGCTCATTCAGAACCGATGACACACTCAACAGTCATGTTGCAGCTGAAGACAGAGATCCCTGACGAAAAATGAGACGGAATGCCCATTCTGTCGCAATACTTCTGGGATCACCGTACTGAGGGCACCAAAGAAGCCCAATTCACTGAAGCCTCTACCTGCAATCCCAATGCCTTAAGAAACCACGAGCTACAATCTAAACTCCCTGAAGGGGTCACATAGGGTTTAGGGTGTAGGGTCTAAACTCCTTAAAGGGGGTTATATAGGGGATAACACCTCTTGTCTCTAAACCAGAAACCCTAAACCACTTGTCTCTAAACCCTGAACTGACCCAATTGTCAAGGTCCGGAAGGCCTCGACTCGCCCTGACGAGGTGAGGCTTAGAGGATTTGCTTGAGGCGTTCGTGGTTGGAGGATAGGAATGTTCCTTGGTTCCTTTGGATTCCTTCGATAATCCAAGGGTTACTAACAACTGGGGACAGCCCGGACAGGATAAGTAGGTCTCCCAGGCTGGCGATCTGGGTGGTCGGGCCAGTGGGTGTGGGCTGTGCACAAGGCCACTGCACTCTCAAGCCCACTGCACTCTCTCAAGTCAGAATAAATGGTTTTTTCTCCCTCCCACAGCACGAAAACAAGGTGATGATGATAATGATAGAGCATGCAGGATGATGACGACGATGGGATGAACCTGTTTGATGCTGCCGCTGCTGCAGCAGCTGCACATGATGCCATTGCTGCCGTTCCTTTGTTGATGGCGCCTTAAGAATAGCAAGAATGATCATGATGATGATGATGATGACGACGATGATGATGTCGTTGTTGCTGTTGTCGTTGTTGTCGTTGTTGTCGTCGTCGTCGTCGTCGTCGTGGTCGTTGTCGTTGTTGTTGTTGTTGTTGTTGTTGTTGTCGTTGTGGTTGTGGTTGTGGTTGTGGTTGTTGTTGTTGTTGTTGTTGTTGTTGTTGTTGGTGGTGGTGGTGGTGGTGGTGGCGGCGGTGGTGGTGGTGGTGTTGCTGGTGTTGTTGGT